AAAAAAAAAAAAAAAAAAAAAAAAAAAAAAACTAGAGAGCCCAATGCAAAAGGAGCATGTGCAGCTAAAACTACAAGAGAAAGAATGTTACAAAAAACGTCTCCAATGGTTGAGAATACACGACATAGGACTGCCACAGAACTCTTTGATTAGAAAAATCCAAAGGGAGGTGTTGAACTCTACCATAGTCCACTATTCTCCTCAAGGGCTTTGAGTGTTAAACTGAAGAATTGAAGTTCTTTGTTCTACCTGTGGTTTTAGGCGTTACGATTTGGTGTTCTCTGTTCTTTGATTATGTGTTAAGCAGTACCCTGTTAACTGTTGGATTGATATAGTTATGTGAAATCAGTTTTTCAGATTGCCTCGGATATTTTTTAGGCCTGGATATTAACTCATTTTCTACTTTTCTCTAACTATCTTTTATTTATTTTCCAACCCAGTGATTTTGAGGAGCTTGAGGCAGTGCCATCAATGTCAGTGATTGAAGGTCCATTGGAGCCCTCAGCACCACCCTCTACTGTCACCGATGCCCCTGAAGATCCTTCCTTTGTGAACTTCTTTAGTGTTAGTGCTCTAACCTTGTCTTTCTGCTCTTTTTATTTTTTTAGTTACTTTCTTGTGGTAGCATTGTAAGCTTTTCATTTTCATGGACTTAATATTTTATCTTTATATATGGAACTTGTGCTACTGTAAACCTTTTCTTATCCAACTTTGTTTGTCTACTGTTGAAAATAAACATTTTTGTGAATGAGAGATAAAAAAGAAAATATGCGTTTACCAAATTCTGATAAAAATTCCTTTTACTGAATGAAAATCTTCCGAATGAAACAGAACTATTATTGAACTTCAGGGTAAAATGGTTGCAAATGTTGACAATGAAGTTTACCAATTAAGAGATGATTCATCTGCTAGACCTAGAAATACATCAGCTCATCTATTAACTGGCTTTAGAACTGCTGGTCTGAACTGATTACATAGTTATTGGTGTGAATGATCAAATTCTTATGAAATTCTAGTTCACATTTAAATTTCATTTTCTGGCTAAATTTTTCTTTATACCTCAAAATTGTTCTTTAGGTTAGTCAATTGCAAATCAGATACTGAAGCTTGCAGATGAAATAATGTTATTATTATATTGTTCCTTTTTAGTATCCTATCAAACTGTATAGCTGAACTTAGCTTAATAATTATAAGGCTAAATGAATAAAAATATCCCTAAACTTTGTACTTTGTCTAAAATATACCCCTAAACTTTCAAAAAAGTTTCAAAAGTACCTTAACCGTTAGTTTTGGATGGAAACGTTAGTATTTTATTTCAAAAGTACTCTTGAACTTTTAATAGTGTTTCAAACATACCTTGAACTTTAAAAAATTTCGTTAATACCTTTTCTTTTTTAAAAAAAGTTCAAAAATACCTTTACCGTTAGTACTATGTTTAAAAAATACTCATGTAATTTTAAAAATATTATCATCACCCTTTGCCTTGATAAAAAAAAGTTTTAAAAAATCCTTACCATTGATATATGGACAAAAACCATCTATCGGCACCTCATAGATTATCTCCGAACTTTCTAATGTTACTTTTGAAAGTTTATGAGTATTTTCAGAACATGGTACTAACGGTAAGAGTGTATTTGAATTTTTTTAAAAAGTTTAAATGTATTTTGAAGTTTTTAAACAAACTTAAGAGTATTAATGAAACTTTTGAAAGTTAAAAGGGTATTTTTGAAACAAAGTATTAATGGTTTCTATCCAAAACTAACGGAAAAGGTAGTGTTGAACTTTTTTTAAAGTTTAGTGATATTATTGAAACTTTTGAAAGTTTAGGGATATTTTTGAGACAAAATGCAAAGTTATAAGGGTATTTTTATTAATTTAGCCTAATTATAATTCTATTGTTGGTTTGTCTTTTTTTTCCTTTTAAATATCTTGTTAATTATGTTGGTCTCCCTCGCTTCTTTTCTTGTACTTTCCACCATTTCTAAGTGAAAATTGTATTTCTCTCATTCCGTACACCTTCCCCTGACCAAGAAAAGGGGTAAAAATTTATAACTAACGACATTTATGAAAATAAGACCCTTTTTTGCATTATGCTGAAACTCTAAGTTCGGGAGACTTCCATTCTCTTACAAACCACTGACTGTCTTGGTTGGGATGATATCTACAAAGGAACTTGTACATTCAGTAATTGTGTGGTCATTGTGGTTTACTTTATTTTCAATGCCATTCGGTTACCTTGATGGTATTTCTGCAGGCGGCCATGAATATTGGAAATAATGCTCCAAATATACCGGATTCAAGGCAGGCATATCATGCTTCTGCTATAAACCCTCCATCTTTGATTCCTCCTAATGTTGTATCAGCTCCTGCACTGGCTCCACAGCCATCTTTTCCGATCGCAGCTTCGAATACGCTAACCTCTCCTTATGGACCTCCTGACCCAAACAATGGTACTAATCAGGTCACTAATCTTGTGAAGCCTTCTTCTTTCTTTCCACCTCCATCTTTCTCATCTGCACCAATGCGGCCTTCCTTGCCCTCATCCATGCCAATGCCTACACTTCATCCTCCCCTTAACTTACAAAGCCCATATGGGACCCCAATGCTCCAGCCATTTCCACCACCTAATCCCCCGCCTTCACTTACACCTGGTTCTGCCCCTGCTCTCAATGATGGGCCTCTTATTAACAGGGATAAAGTTCGTGATGCACTTCTGATGCTTGTTCAGGTATCTTTCTCACACTTTTTTTAGCCATATTATGACCAGCAGTTTTGGTTAGAAGTTTATGCTCTGGTGTGGTTTGTTTATTAGCTACCTATGTCAGGATCAGAAGTCCAGCCCATAACTAAAAAGAATATGGAAATGATGTAGAAAGATATTTGCCCAGATAACTCACTAATTAATGATACCCTCAGCAATGGCCTTGTTCACAATTAACCATATTTGCATTGCAATTTGAAACTGATTGTATTCTTATTCATCCTCCATGCTCTCATGTTCTGTCTTAAACAATTTCAACATTTTGAAGCACATGTTTTAAACAATTTCCGTTGATTGAGCATCTGCAAAAGAAAAATAGTGTTGTTCCGTTGCAGGCGTAGAACAAATTGTCGATTCTTCCCTCTCATTTTTGACTTGTTAGTTCGATTCTTCGTCGAACAATTTGCCAGTTTCGAGGAGTGATTTACATTTGTTTCTTATATCATGGCTGAGAGGCTTAACGATCCTCCCCTTCTTTCTGTGCTTTACTTCTAGTATATAACTCTGTTTCATTATCCAGTTCAATCAAAGTTTATGCATTATAAAAACACTTATTTCTGGGTGTGCTGGCTGACCTGTGGAATATTGATTGATATGCTAGGATGATCAATTTATCGATAAGTTTTACCAAGCACTGCTGAAGATGCACCATTCTTGAGTATCTTGAGAAGGTCAAGAGGCGGATTTGATTGAGTTCAAATGTGTGTGTGAATTAGATGTGTACATATAACTCACTCTGAATTATGTCTAAAATTAGTGGTTCTTCTCAGTGTAGAGAGTCTGTTTCAGTGTAGAATTATAAAGAGTTTGGTTGTTCTTAAAGCTCTTTTTGATTTGAGGTATTGCTGACAGAAACGCATGGCATGGTGTGATATTGCTGCATGCCCTCTTTCAGTTTCGTACTCTTAGGAACTTTGCTTCCTCATTCCAAGTTTTGTTGTTTCCAGTATTTCACTTTCGGGTGATTCTCATTAGCTGAGTTCTCTTGTTCCTTAGTGTGTTCTTCACCGTTTTAATCTAATTTTATTTTTGTAATTTTGGTCTGAGGTTTTTCCACCGGTGTTTCGGGTGACGACGTGGATTGTAAAACTATATTTCGAACATTTTGTCTAATATTTCGTACTTAAACTTTTAAATATATGTTATTTAGTTCTTAAACTTTTCGATTCGTCTTTCGTTATTGTATCTACCACATTCACAGATTTTAAAAATTTTTAATTTTCAAAAAATTAAAATTTTAATTTAATGTTTTTAAAATATTGTATTTGTCTTTTTTTTATTGGGATTTTTTATGTATTCATTTATGGTTTAAAACTCAAAATTTTTAATTCCATCTATTTAAATACTTTTATCAAATAATATAAATTCTTAATGAGAATTTTGTTTTTTTATCACGAATGTATGAATCAAATATATAATAAAAACATTTTAATTAAATTTTAGTAAATTTTCCTCATTTCAGAAGAATTATGTATTAATTTTTCTCTCCTTTAATTTGATTAATTTACAAATTTATTTCAGAATTATGTTGATACTAATATTAATTTAAAATTTTAATCCATATAATAAATTATTTATTTTTTCAAAAAAAAAAAAAGAATGAGCGTGGGCTGTGTGGGTTTGCGCGCCGCGAGGTTGTGTAAAAAGAAGAAAAACATTGGAAAAAGACCGTGAGTCCTCTCTTCTTGTGGCTGTGGATAACCGAAGAAAAGCTTGGTTTTGCTGGAGTCTCAACTATTACTGTGCAAAAGATAACGCCATTGTCCTACAGTTCGCCCATCGATCAATCAATCATTCTTGTGTCCATTCCCCTCTCCACGTATACGGATAATTCCTCTCTCGACACGCCGGCTTCACTTTTTCTTTAACACACCCAAACTTTTCCCTTCTACACTTCGTGACTCTTCTTCTAATTCTCTTTTTTCATGTTTCTGGAAGAGCTGAATTGCGACTTCTTACGCTGTATCCCATCGCTTGCAGATGGCATTTGAATTTCAGGGTAGTACCTTCCTACCGTCAAGGTACTATGATATATGATCAATGGATTCGTTTGCGTTTTTTTTTTTTTCTCAAAGAATTTTTTGTATTTGATTTGTTGGTTGTTCCCTAGTTTTCTCTTTTGGGTTTGTAACTTTATCGAGTTTAGGGTTCGCGCCATGGTTCTTTTGTCTTCTGGTTATCTTGATTATTATTGGTTATGTTTGATTCTTGGGCTAACTGAGGAAGGGGAAGTGGAAACTTGATGCTCGTTGGAAATCTTGAATGGGTATTGAGTTTTGGGTTAAGTATGCTTTTCGCTTGAACCTTTGGATATTAAGTTCACTTAGGGACTACCTTTTTTTATTATTATTCTTCTAGTATTTTAAATTATGTTCGTTTTTTTTGTGGATTGTACTGTTTAACAATAGTTGATGGAATAGAATGATGGCGCTCTGTTTTTAAAAATTTAGATGGGGTGGCATGGTTTGACTGTTAATTGAATGGATTAGAAATGAATGGGCAGGTGATCAAGTTGATTAGGTTTGATAATCTATCTGATTGGTTGTCAAATTGTACTTTCATCCCAACTTTAAGAAATGAATTTGATGGCTTTGCTCCACTGTATGATATTGAGGACAAAGACTTGATAAACATAGCTCCTTAGTGGACACATGAATGTAATATGTAGCTTTGCCTTAGTTTTAATATTCAGCTGGCGAACATTTTCTCTTTTATAAATTTTGAAACTAAGATTCGAAAATTGCAAGATATATCATGAGAACCGGTTATTGTTAAATCGGTATCCATTGCCCCTTCGTTATTTCTGAACGTGATTATATTTTTCTCAGGAACGTGATTATAATAAAACTTTCCTGATGTCGTTGAATAGTTCAAGTGCTTTTTATCCTTAATCTTTTGGGCTCACTATGCTGTCTCATGTCTTCCAGTTCGTCGACAACATGGCTTCCATACAATCCAACTAGGACTTTTTTTTCATGTAAAAGAGCCAAATTGGACGGCCTGCTAAGCAGCTGGGGAAATTCAAGGAAAAGATGCCTTATAAGAGCTGTTTTATCAGAAAAGAATGACAGTAGTCTCAATCCTAGTTTCATAGGCTTTAAGAAAAGCTATTTACAACTTTGCAGACAAAGAAACCTCTCACCCCTCGCTTCAGCAGATGAGAGTGTAACTGTCAATGGGAGTCCCCAAGCAAGCACTAGTTCTGATGTTGAGAAAATGAGGATCAGGTTAGATGACTCACGGAAACAAGATTGTAATGATGGCCTTGTCCAATCTTTGCATGATGCTGCAAGAAATTTTGAGTTGGCTATTAAAGAACACAGCGCGTCCTCAAAAATGCGTTGGTTTTCAACAGCTTGGCTTGGTATGGACAGAAATGCATGGGTTAAGTCGCTGTCTTATCAGGTAATAACTAATGACTGGACCTTTACATTTACAACTAACTTAGGCTTCACCTTCCTCTCCTCCTTTCCTTGTCACGTTCTTAAAGTGGTAAATAACATCTCTTATTATCCTAATGAGCTGCACTTGACAATATAATAACTTGTCTAAGCAACATGGACTTGTCATTTTCTAAAAATCACAACACAGATATAACAAAGACGTAGTCATCAAGCGCGCACGCGCGCACACACACATATATATAATTGTGCTTTTATTGTAAAATTTAATCACGATGGATCAATTGTTCAACTGAAAGATCAGTTTTCTAACTTTACTTCAAAAAAAAAAAAAAAAAAAAAAAAAAAAAAAAAAAAAAAAAAAAAAAAAAAAAAAAAAAAAAAAAAAAAAAAAAAAAAAAAAAAAAAAAAAAAAAAAAAAAAAAAAAAAAAAAAAAAAAAAAAAAAAAAAAAAAAAAAAAAAAAAAAAAAAAATAAATATCAATGGTCTCTTGCATCAGCTCGCATTACGAATGCTTTTTCTTAGCAATTCTCGGAAAGCAGTTTATATGGAGCAACCACTTTAACTTACAGTTTTCATTTAAGTGTGATTTGGATAATTTTGAAAAACAATTGAGAAATATGGAATGAAGAAGAATATATTTAAGGACTTCATATTCTACAGACGGTCTATCATTATTATTTTTTAATATACGGGACATATTGGAGGTGGTACTGCTAGTGGTATAGATTGATGGCATTATCATGCTCTTTTGTCTCGAGTTCTTACGTTTCCAGGGTTTCTTGTGAACCTAATAATAATTTATTTAGTTCATACGTATTGATTTTAACTTTCTTGTGGGTACGCACTGTTATTATTGTTTAATCCAGTGGTGAGCTCTGTACTCGTAATGTTGTCTCTATCCTGCTTGCGTGATAGTTTTGACGTTTAGATATCTTGCCTGGTATAGTAACACAAGTTATATTTTGTTAGCATCAAATTAACAGCTCAATAATTTTGATGTCATCAGGTGTCTCAATCTCATACATTATTTCTGCTATCTAAAGTGAGTATTGTTTACAGGCCTCTGTGTATTCTTTGTTGCAAGCAGCTTGTGAAATTTCATCTCGGGGTGATAATAGAGACAAAGATGTCAACGTTTTTGTTGAGAGAAGGTAATTAATTCTGAAGTCATTTTTTAGACTGTTTTTTTTCCCGACGAACATATTGAACTATATATATAACTTACAGCAGACTGAGAACATTTTCCTGGAAATGATTCAGGATCTGGCTATGCATGATACCAACAAATTATTCAATAAAAGTAATTTTCATTAATATTCTAGTATTTGGATAGAAATTTAAGGACAGATTAATTTAATTACTTGGATGCTATTGAAACTTGGTTTGAATTTTTTGTTCGCAAAAGTACTACTAAAGGATCTCTATCAAACTAAACAAAACTTGACATGCAACGAAATACCTTTGCAAAATTTGAAGTGCTTCTTCAATTGAAAATGCAGCTTCACTTTAAAACACAGTATATTTTCTCTCTATTCTTTTGACATTTAAAGACAATAACTGTATTATTATTCTTCCTAGTTTCTGATCTCCATGACTCGATGGTATTGTTAGTGGGTTGATTATTGATCTGCAGTTCTATCTTTTGCCATCGTTGAAGACATCAATTGTTAATCATTACACTTTTGCAGTTTACTACGCCAATCTGCTCCCTTGGAGAGCTTAATCAGAGATAAACTATTAGCGAAGCAACCAGAAACTTATGACTGGTTTTGGTCTCAGCAGATCCCGGTGGTGACAGCATCATTTGTCAATTATTTTGAACAGGACCCACGCTTTTCTGCTGCAACTGCATTGTATGTATCATCTTAATTGCCCCATGAATGCTTCTGATCTTTTTGTACGTGAAGGAATAATGCCAAATTTGTTCGCTCCAGGGATGGCAGAGGATTATCTATGGACTCTGGCAGAACAAGTGTGTCACTCCTCATGCTTGCACTGGCTTGTCTTGCTGCTATCACAAAACTTGGGCCTGCAAAAGTCTCTTGTCCACAATTTTTTTCTATAATTCCAGAGATATCTGGTAGATTGATGGACACGCTGATAGAATATGTTCCTATTTCTGAAGCTTTTGAATCCATAAAGAGCATTGGTCTGCGTCGAGAATTCCTTCTTCATTTTGGTTCTCGAGCAGCTGCTTGCAGAGTAAAAAATGACTGGGTTGCAGAAGAAGTAATTTTCTGGGTTGGTCTTGTACAGAAGCAGCTACAGCAAGCTATAGATAGAGAAAAAATATGGTCCAGATTGACAACATCAGAAAGTATTGAGGTAGACATTAACTTCTTTAACCTTGGATAATTTCGAGCAACTCATACATCTTAACCCTCCAAAGTTGCCTTATTGAATTTAATTACAGTTCTTTGGTGTAGTTAGAGAAAGAGTATGGTTTAGACAAATGTAACATTATCAGAAGAGTAGTGAGGTCAGCGCTCTATTAGAGAAAGAGTATCTCCATAGATAACTTGTTGAATTTAAAGTTGAATATAGATGTTAATTGAAATTTATAACTTTGTAGGAGTAACACATCATCTTATAGTTGTAAGTTGATCCTAACCCACCTTTAATTTTCCCTA